TAGTGAACAATAAAGAAAGAGAAGGTCTTCTGTCAGCTGAGAGGAAATTGTAGTCTGAGATGGTGCAAATATTGCCTAAGGCTGAGCTTTGGCTCATATCCTGGCCAGGAAGAAAAGCAAAGGCCCCTTTGAAAATCTGATAGGAGAAAATATCCAAGTCACATGTCATAATGGCTTATTTCCTTGTGGTTGATTCCGTAAGTGATTGAGAAATAATCGCTGAGCAAAGCTTGGAAAATCTGAAATTTACCTGGGGACCACACAATTTCATTTCCTGTTGTGTGGCTTCATGCCATGCAACACAGTAAGAAACAGCTATCCTATAACATTTTGTTGACCACAACTCTGCAAAATCCAGAATCTTACTGCTGACTAAGCTTTTTAATATTTACTGTTCATTTAATTCTCACACCAACATGGCTTCATACTAGTTTTAGTATTGCTTTTCCTGTAGGTAATTGAGGTGGTCTTCCAACTTTCTGCTAGTTTCTCTCAACATCCACTCTAATCCTATGCCTGTAATTCTGTGTTCTCTTTCTAAAACATTAATCTGATCAGCTTAAATACTTCGGCAAATACACACCCCTCATCAAATATAAATTCTGGTGCTCAGTGTTACAAGAAGCATCCAATATTTGGATTATTGTGCTGAAACTGTAATATTTTGGATTTCTTACTACATTAAAACTCCATCTCTATTTTGAAAATTACTCCAAAGTCCAAAGCCATTCTTCATTTTCTGTGCTTTCTTAAAAATTTGTAGTTATTGAACAGTGGCATTCAACTTAATGTTTTCTGTTTGTGTATGCTTCTTCCCAACTGTAAGATGAAATCTTGAAAAGCACAGCCATTACTAATTCTGGTGTAGATCACCATGCAGTTTAGAAACCGGTAGGCCAGGATGCTCACTACTGATTCTGCCGACTGGTCTTCTGCTTCTGTGTCCCTGCCTTCCCACTTCAATTCTTTCTCCTGCCACAGCCAGCAGGCAGAGAATCTGCTGGCTCCCACTGCACTGGCGCCTTTAGTTCCCTTTGTTACTGATAACCTCTGGCCTCCTTACCACAGTTCAGAAATTCCTTGCAGCATTGGCTGCCTCCTTCCCCTCTGCTCCACACTGCTCTCTCCTTGTTCTCAATCCCCAACTTAGAGCAAGGACATTTTCACTTGCTCTTTCTTCTATGTAGAGTATTGTTTTCTAGGCGTCTTACATAGCTTGTTTGTTTTTCTCATCCATCAAACCTTGTTTTGGAAGCTAGGCATGGCATTCCATACTTAGAGTCCCAGCATTTACAAGGCTGAGATCGGAGGATTGTGTATTCCAAGTTAACCTTTGCTACATAGCAAGATCCTATCTTGACTCCTACCCTTTCACACAAGAAAAGGATTAAAAAAATTCTACTCATTCCAGATACCACCTGGTCACAGAGACCTTTCTTAACACCTTGGTTATATAAGCCCTTTGCCATTCAGTTATATCTCCCATTACCTATTTTCTTCATGGTTTAAGTCAAATCTTTAATTTTCTTATGGGTTAGTTTTCTGATTCTTTCCAATACTATGAGTACAGATTTCTATCTGTTTGATTACCATGTTAAAAATACTCATTTAAAATATTACCTGGCCAGAATAGGTTCTCAAAAGATAGGTCTTAAATAAATAAATACAAAGTAGATATTTTTAAAAGCAGAACTATTCACACTACCAGAATTATGCAAATCATCACATAATAAAGTTCAATGTTTTGTGCATCTCAGAGAAAGGAGGTGAAATATTATCATGGTGTCATGATGCACCAGACCTCATCTCCTGAGCACAAACAGCAAGTCTGGGGTAAAATATAGCTAATTTATGAACAACTTTTACAATAAATCTTTGAAAGTATTAAAACATTAATGGAACCAAGAAATCATAGTCAAAGAAGGGAAGAAATATGATATGTCTAAACAGCATAATGGTTTAAAGAATAGAATTTACCAAAGAAACAATATGGAGAACACTCACATAGAGCAAGAGAAAATGAGCAGAACGAGTGCTTCTTGAATAAAATGCAAAAAATTCAAATTGGCCTCTACTATCTCATGTATATAAACTGAAATTTAAAAAAAAATTGCCAAGCATCTTTCAGTTTAGAAATATCTTTACACAGTTTATCTCCTTTGATAAGACCATTAGTGAAAATCCATACAACCTTGGATGAGGAAACCTGGCTTTGGCCAGGCACCAGTGGCTCAAACCTGTAATCCTAGCTACTCAGGACATTGAGATCTGAGGATTGTAGTTTAAAGATAGCTGTGCAGTAAAGGTCATGAGACTCTTATCTCCAATAAATTACCAAAAAGCCAGAAGTGGAGCGGTGGCTCAAGTCGTAGAGTGCTAGCCTTAAGCAAAAGAAGTTCAGTTATAGCACTGAGCCCCAGAATTTCAGCCCTCAGTCTGGCACACACATGCACACACACGCACACACACACACACACACACACACACACACACACACACACACAAGAAACAGACAGCCCCATTGATGAGAAGCTGTGACAATGTCTAGTTACTTTCTTTCTCTGGGCTTCTATTTCTTTCTTTGATAAAATGAGAGTATTGGACAAGATTGTTGTTAAAGTCTATTCACTCACCTATTGTAGTGATCTATATTTACCTCATGAAAGAATCAGGTTTCTCTTTTTTGAAGCTCAAAGATATGAACTTTCAGGCATTAATAAATCACTTTTTTGTCCCCACTCAAGTTCCTAAAACTAAATGAGTTCTTTTTTTCTTTTCTTTTTGTCAGTCGTGGGGCTTGAACTCTGGGCCTGGGCACTGTCCCTCAGCTCTTCAGCTCAAGGCAAGCGCTCTACCACTTGAGACACAGTGCCACTTCTGGTTTTCTAGTAGTTTATTGGAGATCAGAGTCTCATGGACTTTGCTGCCTAGCTGGCTTTGAACCACGATCCTCAAATCTCAGCCTCCTGAGTAGCTAGGATTACAGGTGTGGGCCACCAGCACCCAGCTTCCAAATGAGTTCTTTGATCATTCTCCTAAATGCCTAGGTAATCAACGGCAGCCCTGGCTCACCTTTAAGTATCCATGATTTCCAAGTAAAATACTATCTTCCTTTTGGTGGCAGGGCTGCCTGATTCAACACCTGTGTTGTTCCCTGGCAAATGGCATCTCCCTCTACAGCATCACCAACTTTCATTTGTCCTATGTTATAACTCAAGGAAAAGCTTCCCAGCAGTCAGTCTAATAGATATTTTTGATACCTATTATACTGTCTTCATGGAAGAAGGCTGGAAATGTCTTCTTATACACAATTCTGAAGATGCCGCTCTTCTATCCTTTTATATTTGTCTACCATCTGCTTACTCTGCCAGCCATGGAAGGGATTAAGGGAGGCTCCCTGAATCAAAAAGGGGTGGGAGTGGACAGCAGTAGAATCTTGAAGGGGCATGTAGGTCTGAGAAAGGACTACATAGAAGTAGTCTCTACTATTTTTCCTTCTCTAATGTTGGTACTGTTGCATTTCATCGGAACCCATCCACTTTTCAGGTCTAGCCAAACCATTTGACATTTCTGTTTCTTATACATAAAGTAGAGCATGCTGTAGCCTATGGCCAAGAATCTATCTGCTTTCAAAATAGATGTTGTGCCCAGGTGCTGGTGACAGCTGCCTATAATCCTAGCTACTCAGGAGGCTAAAATCTGAGGATCACAGTTCAAAACCAGTCCAGACAGAAAGGTCTGTGAGATTCTTATCTCCAATTAACCAACAGAACACAGGAAATGGAGCTGTGGCTCAAAGTGGTAGAGCACTAGCCTTGAGCACAAAGAAGCTCAGGGATAGCACACAAGCTTTGAGATAAAGCCCCATGATGGACAAAAAATACTGTTATTGTCAAGCATAGCAATGAATTTGCTACTTCCAATCATAGATTCTTACCTGAAAGTTTCCCTCTGTAAGTCTGAGGTGGGTATTTGAGCTACAAATATCAGGTGGAACACTTACATGATTGTTTGAAGGACTCAGTCCATGGTTTATACGCAAAAGATACTAACTGTCCAGGTTCTCAGAAGGTTTGCTATTCTTCCATCGTTCTGAAGACTGTTAATATCCAAGGCAAACTGCATTTTTCAATCTGCTTTCTCTCTCCCCTTTGAACTACTAGCTTTGTGACTTAAAATTATATATTATATAATAACATAAGTTGCTACTGAGAGCAGGTGCCTAGATTTGATCATCTGCTCCCTGTTCTGGTCTTTGTGCTGCTATATTAGGTTTCTTGTAGGAGGTAAGCATACCAGAGAGACTGTCAATGCGAGGCTAAATTCTGAAAGATTTCTAGAAAAGTATTCCACAGACAGGTTGGTTATAGAGGCAAAAGGCTTATTTCCCTTAGATTAGCTTTTCTGGGCAGTTGGGCATAGATTGCCTGCTATTCACCCTTTTCTCCCCACAACTCTTTGTGCAGGACAACCCAACAGGCAACTTCTGCACATCACTGCCGGGAGACTGGAGACATGATCTTGATAGCTCCTGTCTGGGAAGCAGATCAGGTTAGATCTCGGATCACATGGAATATATCTGTAATTCATCCGTAAAGCATTCGGAAAATCTTCCCCAACTAGAGCCCTAGAATTCCTGCTAGTACCTTTCCTTCCAGGAGGCAAATTTTCTGCATATTATTATTATTATTGTATAAACAAACCCTTTATTTGCTGCACTGCAGACTTTCCCCTTATTTTTTCCCCCGAATTCAGAAGCTCAGATACTGCTAGAGACATGGAATAAAAACTCATTCTCCGTGCAGACTTTGGAAAAGGATTTTGTCCACTTGGCTGCGATACAGATGCGTCAATCCTTTCATTCCCCCCCCCCCCCCGCCCCACCTCATCTCTGTCAGGCTGGAGAGGCAGAGGAGCCGATCCATTATGTTGCTGCTATCTGATTGGCTGAAAGGTCCGTGGCTGGGCTATAAAAAGAGACCTGAACAGACTTTGGAGGGAGAAGCTCAAGAGGATTCTGACAGCATCTTTGTGGAGAAGGAAGAGCTTTCAAAATAGAAACCACAGCTCCTCCTGCTGCCTTTCTTTCCTACCTGCGACTCCCACACCGATAGCAAGATGTGTAAGGGACTTGCAGGTCTGCCGGCTTCCTGCCTAAGGAGGTAAGATTGCTGCTATCACTGATCAGCTTAAACTCTGGGATAGACAGTTCTAAGTCACTTGCATGCTGTATTTCTTAACTTTGTTCTTTGGAATTAGAAGCGACATGGTTAACAGAACAGCAACTTCCTATTCTTTTTTCACCAAGATTAGCTACATATTGTGACTTAGGAAGTATATATATGTTCTGCAAATATTCAGACTTGTGTATTGTTTCACACGACCAGTATCAAGAGCTGTTCTGAGCAGGTCCTTTCATCAAGCTAGCTTAGACTAAGGAGTAACATGAGGTTTGGGGCTATGTAGAGAGGCTGACAGGAACTCGGATTCATGCTTGTATTTGAGCATCACAGGATCACTTTTTAGTTGTATACTAGATTTGGGGTATGAAGAGACCTCAAAAGGAAGTCGAGTGGCATCACCAGACAAACTGATGATGCTTTTCTCTGTGTATTGCAGTATTGGTCATTCTATGTTCTCATAAGCAATGGTGGTGCTAAAATATGGTTTTCAAAGCTAGGTTTCCCCCTCTCTGGCTGCCCCACTCCTAGTTCTTAAAGTTTCCTATGTGAGAGGATATTGAGAAGTACTGATTAGAATAAATCAGCTAAAAGTTCTGCAGCCAATCTCAGTAAAGACCTGGTTTTATCATGTACTCTCTTGTTTAAAAAAAAAATAGACTTTAAAGGTATGTAGCTCTTGATCTGCCTTCAGCTTTTCAAACAAGATCTAAGTAAATGATTTCAAAGGATGCTTGCATACCTGTCAGTCAAAAATAAAATACAAAAACAGTATATGTTACATGATTTTCATTTATAACAAAAGGTAAAAGAAATCAATCTGAGAGTATACTCAGTATACAATCTGAGAGTATACTCTGTGTGTGTGTGTGTGTGTGTGTGTGTGTTTCCGGACAAATAGAAATCACCTTATAATTCAGTTTAGAAATAATCCCTGAAATCATAGTCTTTGTGCTTTCCTAATAAGTTTATCTTTTAAGCAGTCTGCCATTCATGAATAAGAACATGTTGATGGTCACTTTAAGTGAAGCAGCGAGGTCTGACAGAAAGGGGCTAAGCAGTAAGAATTCCTCATCTTCACTTTTGATTTCCTGATCAGGGTGAAGCAAGGCATGCGAAGCTTTAGTTATGTTCTTCACAATCAGGAAAGAGGCTCCACAGGGGGTCCTGGTTGCTCAAGGTCACATGCAAGGTGTGTGGCAGAGTGGAACCAACTTAGGTTTCCTGTCTCCAGTGGCTTCTAAGGTCACTTTAGCTTTTATCTTTGTAGTTGTATTCTATTGTGTTATAAGGAAATTTGTTAGGCAGAATTTCAGTTCTTCATAAAAATGACCCTGGGTTTATTCAATAAATGTTGGATCTCAGGCAACGACAACTTATGGGAATATGAAATAATTTCTTTGGAACTGAATTACAAATATTATCACGTTAGCCTTCCAGATTGTATCTTTCTATTATTGAAGAAATTTTTGCCTCTCCTGACCAGTTTCCATTTAGGGAAGAAGAGAAAGGAAAGCAGTTTTGTGAAGGAAAGTAGATACTCTTTAAAGGATAATCCAAGAACATAATGAGATCCAAATAGTTTGGGAAGGGACAAGTGTCTCAGTAGCTGAACTGTCTTTCTGCCCTTTGTGCCCTTGTCCCTTCCAGGTAGGAACAACTGCTTGCCAGCAGGGGGAGTGCAGCAAAAAGATTTTGCAGTTACTTGCTTTGCTTTTCAATCTACAGGTTACTCGAGCTCACTCATATATCTAGTATCGTTCCACTGACAATAGCAAAGATATGGTTAAAATGGTGGTTGTACAGAGGAGCTTCTCTGAGACAGACTGAAAGGTGAAAATTCAAATTATACATGAATAGGTGAATGAACCAGTATTAGGACTTTGGTCTCACAATTTTGCTAGAATTACAAAAATTTTGTTTTCCCAAGAAGTTTATGTTGCTACAATTTCAGTTCCCTCAATAAACTGCTCTGTCTCCTGCATTAATAATGATTTTTTTCATGGTGATGGTACTGGTATTGAACTCAGTGCCTTGCATTTGCTAAGAAAGTTCTCTACTGCTTGAGCTATACCTTCAAGTGCTTCAAGATCTATCCAAAGGGTTTCTTTTATACCAAGATGATTATCATGTTAATTCTCCCCCCCCCCCGCCTCTTCTGTGCAGTGCAAAGGACATGAAGCATCGGCTGGGGTTTCTGCTGCAAAAGTCTGATTCTGGTGAACACAGTTCATCCCACAGCAGGAAAGACAGAGGGGTTGTTAATCAGAGGTAAGAAAAATGTTTCTGATCTTAGTCCATTGACTAGGGGTTATCTAATGGCAGAGTCATCTTATAAGAAGAGAGGAAGTTATGCTCATAGTCAAGTCAGATTTTTATCTCCAGGGCTTCCATTTTCATGGATGTCATAACTAGATTTGAAATTCCCATCTATTTAGTGAAAAATTGTCCTAATCATTGTTTTCATCATAATGATGGAAGATAGAAATCTGCATGGTATTTAGGATCTTACATTTCTTTCCCCAAATCTATTTTATGACATTCACATTATTCTTTTTTTTTTCTCTGTAATGTCTCAAGGGCGAGCCAAGAGGAAGTCAAGAAATGGGCTGAATCACTGGAAAACCTGATTAGCCATGAATGTAAGTCAGATACCTTTCACCTTGAGGCTGAGGATAAATGCACTCTAGATAAAACAACTTATCTTGTATTCTGCAAGTCTGAAAGGAAATACAGAAAGACCTAAGCTCCTTCTGTTCCTAGATTCAGTATAAACTGGCATTACAATTGGTGAGCTTAAAATTTTACCATGATTTATGACAGGATGTTCATAGAAGAGCCTGGTGACAGAAAGAACATCATTCTCATCGCATAGAAAAATGACAAAGAGAAAAGTTTTCTGAATATGAAATCTTGTAGAGCCATTCTCAGCTTCTCTTTCCAAAATTCACTTTGGTAATATATGGCTGCATAGATTCTTCAGGAATGTACTGCTTTTTTGAAAGTAGCTTTAACATTGAGTGGAAATCATTAGGCATAGATAGCACCTACTAGATATAACTAGAATCTACAGGATGTTTAACACATACTAGGGTTATTTGGCCCCAAAGTACTCTCCAAAGTCAGCAAGATTTCCCAACCCCACACTCATCCCCCTTAAGTAGCTTAGTTTAATTTGAAATTTGAAATATTAATTTCCAGCTGCTAGCCAGCATGATGACAACTGTCATTCTTTTTCTTGTGTCACAGGTGGGCTAGCAGCTTTCAAGGCTTTCTTGAAGTCTGAATTCAGTGAGGAGAATATTGACTTCTGGGTCAGCTGTGAAGAGTACAAGAAAATCAGGTCACCCTCTAAGCTCAGTCCCAAGGCCAAGAAGATCTACAATGAGTTCATCTCAGTTCAAGCAACCAAGGAGGTAAGTTTTCATAGCTGAGAAGTCTTTGGATCTGACTGCAAGTTCTTAGAGATGACATTCTAGGGATCATTGGATTAAGAAATATTTGAGTAGGTGTCATAAAAACCCCAAAGTGGATTAAGAAAATTAAAGCTCTTTCATCCACGTGGTTTTAATAATATTTCCTGATAAATCTCCCTGATTTGAAGGAAAGAAGATACTGTTCTCACTTTGAAGTAGAATCAACTTATTAATTATTATTATTATCATTATTTCACATATGGCAGGGTAGATCCAATTGTCCTGTACTTCATTCTTGGGACATGGAGTACCCATAGTCCTCTATTATCCTGTACAGAGAACATCACCTCCTGTCCTCAACAGGGTTGGAGGACTAATGGCACCCTGGTCTTTGCTCCTCAGGTGAACCTGGACTCTTGCACCAGGGAGGAGACAAGTCGGAACATGATCCATCCTACAAGAACCTGCTTTGATGAAGCTCAGAGGAAGATTTTCAACCTGATGGAAAAGGATTCATACCGCCGATTCCTGAAGTCCCGATTCTATCTTGATTTGGTCAATCCTTCCAGCTGTAGGGCAGAGAGGAAGAAAGGAGGCAAGAGATTGGCAGACTGCACTCACCTGCTCCCCCAGTATGCCTAATTCGCACTAAAGGCAGAGGGCTGACAAACTAAGACTCTATGCTCTGAAAAATCTGAGGCCAAATATTGATCTCTATAAAGCACCAATGCTTTATCCATATTGTAGCCTAAGTGTTCATGCTGTCTGCCATGTGTGAGTCACTTCCATGTACAAATTAGATTTAGTCATGGTGGTTGGGTCTTCATCAGGGTGGGACCTTGTTCTAGTCCAGTTTCCCCTAGTTTCCTTGAGGATGACATGCAAGCAAGTATTCAAATAATGACCTTGTAGGTCTGGATTCTCAAAGTGTGTTGGGAGTTCTTCTCCACTCCTAACAGTCTGACCTCAGGTTGGTTGATTGATACACCCCATGTGTATGTATACATACACATGTATATGTATTCAGTTAGCCAGTATTTCCTACAGACTCTCAGTGGATATGTATGTATGTATGCATATATGTTAAATACATATATATATATATATACTATATACATATACATTCCTTATATGTTGTATCTATGTATTCAGATTGGCGTGTGACACACACACACACACACACACACACACACACACACACAGTATGTAAGAATAGTTGGGAAAGACCTAGGTGCTCAAATTAGAGAGTGTATATGCAATTCCATGCAAATGATGCTGGCTCTTCAATACTGCATTCAAACAGGGCAAACTGAACTGACTGCCATTCAGACAAGAGAGAAGGATGGTAACTTCTTGGGGAAGCATCTATGGGACTTCATGATTAATTTAACTGCTGGTGTCTTCACATTGAGTGCTATTGTAAGGAACAAATACCATAAAGAATCGTACATCTGGCCAACACAAAACTGTCTTGCATTGGTTATCACTTTTAAGTCCTTCTGCTGCTTGCTTTTTCTTCTTCGCCTGGGTACTCAGAACCTGTGGCTCAGCAGTTGGATTGGTCTAGAGTTGGGAGAGGAGAGACTTGAGCTAAGAAATGCAGTCATGGCATTGCCAGCTAGCCCTATCATCTGTAACTGGCTAAGCAAGAGCACAGAATTGGAAAGTTACGTTACTATCCTCTGTCCTCTTTTTCTTTCCTGATTAAGGTGCTCTTCTCATATTTCCCCTGAGAACCTTAGCCAACAGATGAGTTCCTTGTGGTTGTTTATTTTATTTTTTTCTCCTTCATAGTGGTTCTAGGCTCTATGCCTTCAATACAAAGCAGGGGAAAGGTAATACTTTACAAGGGGAAAACAAGTTTTCACAAACTGAGAAGCTCTCATAAATGTTCTCTTCTAAGGTAAAGTTGTGTTCATTCCATACCAAATATCAGGGCTAGCAGAGACTGAAGGCATTTCTTTCTAGGCTCTGAGAATAAAGGAGAAAGAGAGAGAGAGAGGGAAAGAGAGAGAGAGGAGAGACAAAGGAAGAAAGAAAGGAAAATGAAAGAAAGGAGAAGAAAGAAAGTTGTTAGAATTGTTGTTTGGATCTTTTCAAGACAAATGAAATACTTGAAAAATTATCATTTATGTTATTTATGCTGTTGTTTTGTACAATATTTTTTAAATTATTATATTGTTTTATAAAATGGAGATACAAGGTATCACCTGAATTACTAATGAATGCCCAGGAAGTAATTTCCTTCTCATTCTTCTAAAACAATTGCCTTTGAACTACCCATACTCATGCGCACACACACTGTATCCAATGCTCAAGTTACATGCACAAGCACTTTTGTGGCTTTTAGCCAGTGTATAGAGCTGCAAAATGAAGATGCTAGAGTGTTTGTATACAAATCCCATGGTGTCAAAGATGTAAGGGTTCAAACTATACCCTTTCTGTGCAGCAATCTTACTCTCCATGTCCCTAAAGTTCCTCATCAACTTCCCTCTTTTGTTATCCAACACAGCCATGTTTCTAGTTGACTCTAGGATCCAAACATACAACTCTGGTCTTGCCCTATTCTGTCAGTCAGAACTTTCAGATTGTACCTGTACTCACCGAATCCTGTCTCACAAATAGGTCTGGAAGGTCATTCTGAATGAGAAGTAAATTATTTTATGTAATCTATTTCGAGTGTGTTTTTCAATGACATGTTCCTGTGATCTCAACACCACTTGTTTGCTCATGGTCCATGGACAGAACATTCCTTCCATCTGCATGCCTCTTTCTCCTGTGCTTTATAGGCCTCCTAGCTGCTGCTTCCAGTGAAGCACACACATCTTATTATTAAGGGTAAATAAAAGCTTCATGCAAAATGATGTGCTTGGAAACCCATTAATGATCCACAGATACACATTGTGAGAGGCAGCAGGGTGCAGGATAACTTCTGAGGATGACTCACACTGGGTCTTTTATCCTTGCCATGCCAACTATCTCTGGGAAGCAGAAACAGAATGTTGTTGATTCTTTGTTTCCTGAAGCTCTGCTGCTTCCACTCATAGAACCAGCCCATTTTGGCTTTAGAGACTGTACTGAACACATTCAAAGGACTACTTCCACTTCATCAATAGAGATTTTTTTTTTAAAAAAAGAACTCTTCTACTTCCAATTACCTCGCTGATTGAAGAAAAATGGAGCATGGAGTAATTGAGAGGGTTGAAGGAAGCTATGATATCTGGGAAATGGAACCCATGCCCAAACCGCTAAAAACTCTTCCTTTATTTTTGAATTATTTTCCCTGAAAAGAGGTCACAGAAATGCTCATGTGTGAAGCCACAGATATGTCATGTTATGAGAGCCCTTTCCCCACTTCCTAGAGCTTTTCTTTTTATACTTTAAGAGTCATGGTTGTAGGGTACTAGGGACATCGGATCATAAACATTTTTGAATGGTTGGCCTTTTAAAGAGCTCATGGAAACTATGGTTCATATCCCTTAAAAAGAACACAGAGCAATCCAAAGTTCTCGTAAATGTTTAGCAACAACTTTCACAGCCTCCCTTCAGCACATACAACATGATTATTCCTATCTTATACTTGTCAAACCATACTTAATTCTCAAAACATCCCTGAGAAACATAGGTCAATTTTGATCATTCCTTCACTGAATTTCTATAGATGAAGAAACTCAGGTACAGAATATTAACTTGGCAACTTCTAATTGCTTGTAAGGGATAGATACTAGCTCAAATTTGAACTGAAGAGGCCTGGGCACCTACAAGCATAGCAGAAACATGTAACACTCACCAAATAGCCACATTCCAGTCAGTGAAAAGCAAAGGGTCTCTTTCAGACATATTAGTGAATAACTGCCTCAAAAATGACTGGCTTCGTGACACATACCTGTAATTGCAGCATTTAAGAAACTGGACTAGGAGGATTGGGAATTTGAGGCCGGAATCAACCTGGCTATATAGAGAGTTCCAGGCCATCCTGGGTTACATAAAAACATGTGGTTTTAGAAAAAAAAGCAAAATAAAGAATAGAGCCAAAATGTACTCTCCATTGCTCTCTCGTATTTTGTTGCAAGTTTGGAGTCTCCATATACAATGTGGAGAAGAGCCTTCTGGCCTACCTCAGAGCAAGAGGTAAATAAAACAAATCATGGTTGAGTTAAGCAATGTATGCATCTCTCTTCTATTGTAGCACAGTATTGATTACACTAAGCAACGGAGGCTCTGTACCAGACTTTTGCCATTTATATGTGTGAGGAGGAGAGCAGGCACTCCGTATGTAGTTAAGAGGGCTTATTTATAGTTACAGCAGTTTTAGAACTCCAAACTTCACTTTATTGGGAGACATTACAAAAGCCAAGGTGCCTCAAGCTATCTTTTGACATTCTGTATTATAAATGCTTAGATTTTTAAATTAAAAATGAGATGATAGAAATGATGGAGCCCAATAAAATAAGTACTAGGAAATAGGTATTTGCAATAGGGGAAAATGGGACCAAGGGGAGAGAGGTAGAAGAATAAAGGGGGGATAAAAATGCAGGCAAGAATTCATTGTATATACCACAGAATTGAGAAATATAAGGGAAGGGGTGGGTTGAAGGGAGTTGAAGATGCTGAAGTGAAGATATAGATCGAGACGCATTGTACACATAAACTGCTTTGTTAAATGGGAAAAAATTCAACACTTAACCTAAAATGAAGATAAATAAGGGAAAGAGTGGGTTGGAAGGAGGGAGGGAGAATGTTGAAAGGAGTGGCATTGATCAAGATGCACTGTTTTCATAAACTGCTTTGGTGAATGGCAACTTCTTTGTACAACTACTTAAAGAGAATAAAACTATTTTTTAAGAACAGGATGGAAGATGAGAAAAGGAAAAAAAGATGAAAGAAAAGCTATAAAGAACAAACCTGAAAGGAAAACCAACTCCTCATCAGCCCAGGTTAACTACACCATGGTGGAAAGTGTCATTAGAGCAAAGCCAGTCAGATCACTTGGTATACATGACAAGCCAGAAGTCAAAATACTGTATAAAAATCTACAAAAATGGAATTATCCTATAGAGTTAATCCAAAGGCTTGGTTCTAAACATGCTTAGGTAATTAAGCCACAAGATGAGTTACTAAATCACCTAGTTTTTTTTAAATACACATGGCTTTGCTTTTTTAACATATAGTTGACATAAGGAAATATGACAAAAGAGAGGAGCGTATTAGGACTTATCCTTTTTAAAAAATTAATTGCACAGAGGAAACATTTAGTCAGATGACTTAATCAGATCCAGGTACAATTAGAATCCAGGTTTTAGATTTTTGCTAATTGGAAGAAATGAGGTCAGTGAGTGCTCAATTCCTAAGACATCCCAGTGGAGGGAAAAGGGGTTAAATAATGCCTGGAGAGAATGAATTGTTTCCAAAGGAGACTTAAAGTTGTTATGTATTCCACAATGCTTTACATAATCTTATTTAACACTTAGGACAAAACTGAAGTAGTTAGTCTTATTATTTTTTTTCCATTGTAGAGAGTGAAACTTTGATATAGAAGAGTTCAGAAATGTATCTAAAATCGTACATCAAAAAAATGTGGTAGAGCTTGGGTCAACTCAAAAATCTTCCCACAGAGTTTCACATGTTTATTCTAATCAAGGACAACAGAGAAGGCAGAAATAAACAAAAGCAGGAACTGAGGCAAGCAAGAGAAGAATAACTGGAAGTAAATGAAATGGAGAGAAGAGGTTAAAAAAAGGTGAAAAGGAGGAAAAAAGAAAAAGCAAAGAAAGGGAGCAGAAAAAGACAGGAAAGCAAATGTAGAAGGGACATGAAGGAGTGAAAAAAGAAAATAAAGAAACATGGTATGAAGAAGGACAAATGTAAAATGCTCTTTGGTCCCTTACTGCAAGGTGGCTGAAGCACCAGGCAGCTACTGGGTTTTCTCCATGTCCTTCATTTCTTCTAAATTTTATTTTATTATAAATATTCTGTACAGAGGGGTTACAGTAAGGTAATGAGTATATTTTCTGTCGAGCATTGTTACCCCCTCCTTTGTTTTCTCCAACTATACTTTCCC